AGCGACAATGTTGCACCGTGCCTTTGTTTCTACTCGTCCATGAGGATTATTTAAGCAGGTCAGGGCGCCAATGTATTGAAATAATCCCGTAGTCAACTAGAAGCAAGGGGCGATACAGTGTTACGGTATAACCCGGCATAATGATTTCCATCCGTCTTACACTGGCGCAGTATCAGTGGCGCAATGGAAGCAATTTCACTATATTTTTTGCCATGTAAATCTGATTCAGTATTTGAAATTTAATAATCTTCAATTTAATAATCTTCATCCTCCATAACCGTCTCTCTTTTCGAGTCACGAAGGGAAATTAATAGCTTAAATTTAATAGTCACCAGTGAAATTATGGTGCTTACGTCATAAGAGGGGAATATATCTCATCTTATTTTGTCTAAGGCAGTAATCCCTCTGGCGTGAAGGTGATTAATGTAAAAGAAAGGTAGAATGTAAGATAAAGCAGACCTAAAAAATGTGTTCATAGTAAAACACGGAATAGGAAATCCATGGGGTATGACAATGCGTCAATTCTAATAGTATCCTGAACAGATATGAATCATCGTTGCATAAGTCAATGCTCAATCGTTGAGCCCGACTGAACGTTTCTGTAAGAGCTTGGTGAAGATGTCAAAAGCAGAGCCAACGGATTACTTCTGAATTAGATCTTGAATATCCGATGACGTAAAGTATTATTGATGCTCAGGGAAGAATGGTGGAAAAGGAAACAAAACCCCTGCGGAGAAACTCCACAAAGAATAGTTAAACTCTGCGAAATGCCTCAGCAGTAACGTGTTTATAGGCACATAAGATCACAAACATACGCTTGGTATGGAACAAAACTGGAGATAAACCTTTAAACAACTGATTTACTGACTATATTAATAGTCAACTAATCTGCATAAAAACAAGTTTCCCCAGGGATGTCAGGATGGTACTACCATTTTTTCTGATATGCTGAGAAATTAATTGACCTATTAAACTGTCAGTTAAACCTTTCGGCTCTAAACAATGCAATAGCTGCGGACCACAGAACGAATGTCGAAAATCAACCTTGTCCATTGTGAAGAAGGCCCAAGAAATTCGAGCCGGAACGTCGGTACTAGTTAATCATTACAGTGACCAATTTGTTACTGTGTATGAATATTAATATGCATTCATGCGGTCATTAAATATCAGTTAAAAAAGGTATTTTGTGCCACACGGAGAGTAGCGTCTACAGTGCAAGATGTCCTGCTTGATTTTTTACATATAAAAGTGCATTTGTCATTTACAAGTTGGTCTACCTACACGTAGGTACTCAAATACTATAATTTGAAACGCCAATTTTTAAATAATTCCCAAAAGTGTCCATTAGCAGTGAGATGGTACGCTGTGAAACCCAATTTGGCAGTTGCTTTTCATCTTGTAACCAACCTCAGAAAGGAACTACATATTTGATGTTTTGCGTAAGACTGTGTTAATTGAAAGAGTAAGTTAGAAGCGAATGATGGCGTCTGAAAATAATATGATTACCTTTCGCTTTTCAGCCTGTAGAATGCAAAAATAGATCGCCGAAGAATGCGTAGCGGTTAATAATACCGTGGGGTAAAAGGCCGCTTCGAATGAGCGGAATTTTTAAATCTGTTTGATGACGAGGCACATGATTAAGTATGCAATCGCTTAGTTTATAATACGTAGGCATATCATTTTAAATGTTTTGTGTTTATACCGATTCTGCGTTCGATTGTGTTTAGTGGATTGCTGAATGGTCATTGCAGATATGAACGAACCAGCGGCCAACTTTCCTTATCGTGATAACGATCAGCAGGAAAATGACAAAACGAAACCACAGCCGTGCCCATATCATAAGTACGATGATCCATCGTACGCTACGCAAGCGGTTTACATGTACGGAGACAAGGCCAGACTATCGGGCAAAACTATTTGTATGGCAACCATGCAAGCCACCTTCCATCATTATAATGTGCATAACATGTATGGTATGAAAATGAGCCAATCCACGGCCGAGATTAAGTCGAACGGTGAGGACGGTGAGGACTTGGTGCCTCTCATCATATCGCAGTCCACATTTCCGAGCAGCGGACGATTCGCAGGCCACTGGCTAGAGAGCACCTACGCGAAGTGGACTGACCTGAAAGGGAGTATCATCGACGTGCTCGAGTTCAATCTGTTCGGCATACCATATGTAGGACCTGATATGTGTACGCTAAGTGGAGACATGCAGGAAGAGCTGTGCGTGAGGTGGCTGCAGCTTGGTGCATTTTTTCCTTTAGCGAGAATCCGCAGTGAACGAGGCGAATTTTCCAAGTACCTAATGAAGTGGAGTAGAGCTGGTCAAGTAGCAAGGGATTCGCTGTTGCTGCGCTACACATATCTGCCCTATATTTACACTCAGTTTTACCGAGCCAAGTACTTTCATGAGCCTGTCATTCGACCGCTGTTTTATGAATTTCCTCATGATGACGAAACCTATTCGATAGATAAACAATTTATGATCGGTTCCGGACTGCTGGTCACTCCAATTCTGGAACCATTGACAGATACACCCTCCGGCTATTTCCCTCGCAGCATCTGGTACAACATATACGACGAGCAGGCGATTGGAAAAAGGGTTTTACCCTCATATCAGGACGTGGAAGTTTGTCCAGATGGCACCGTCGCCATACATGCTAGAGGAGGGATCGTATATCCTCGACAGAAGCCGGCGCTGACCATCACCGAAAGCAGAAAGAATCCTCTGAGTCTTCTGATCGCGGTGAACGAGTCGATGCAAAGCACGGGCGAATTATTCTGGGTCGGCGACAATGAAACCCTGGCGAACAACAGCAAGTGCTATGCGCTTTACGCGTTTTACTACACCTTTTACGGCAAGCATCATACGCTGATAATCACTGCTCAGCGGCCATTGTG